ACTCTCAGACTGAAGAAGTCTCTTGGAGGAGAGACAAAACATTTCATTAAAGAAGAACCCGTCCAGAGGACCTATACAATTTTTTTTCCTTTTGATTTTTTACCTGGATTACTGAGATGCATCAGGAYAGTGTGTAWCTTCAGTTTATTTAATTACYAAACAAGTTCCACATTTTTCTGTGTTACTGAACCGACATTAAAAAAAGTGAGCACTGCCAAGTAAACTGATGACGTCATCCATCTAACGTGACTTTGTCACAGAGAGGCGTGTACATTCTCTGCCTGAAAATGAATTGCATCCTGTCATTTTATCCTGCTGATGGAAACGTGTTTTTTTTTATTCCTTATTTTGTTATGAAACTTGGATTGCTTTCTTAGGGGGGTGAGTGGGGCGGGGTGGGGGGCTGCATTCCAAAGAATTTCACTCCCCTTGTTCCAGTAATTCCTAGTGAAAAAACAAGCACTTTGTTAATGATGCTTTCTGACAGCGTCTGTTGTCATTGATCATCTCTGCAGAGACATGCCCCCACAAAAAACACTGCACTTAAAACAAAATGAGTAACATTTTAGTTTGGACTGCGACCCCCCCCCCCCCCCCATGTCAAAGCAATCTACAAAGTACTTATTATAGTTTGACAAAACAGCTGTTTTACTTCCAAACTTTAGCCCAGAGTTTACAACACTGAACTATTCCCTATAAACTAGATGTCTGAGCAGAGTTAGGAACGTTTAGCTGAACTGTCTGCAGAGGTTTCACACTGTGGTGATTTGACCTTTTTGTGTTCGTCCCCCACCACCACAGGCAAAAGCACTGAAAGTTTGAAATTTGTGTCGCAGTGTCGCAGTTTTGCGGGGGATTGTGCATTATTTACAGCCCGGTGTTTTCCGTTTAAAACTTTTGCATGAAAAGTGGCGAGTGATGTGCATTGCTCTGCCTTTAATTTCCCTTTCTTGCCAATTAAACTTAACGTTGCTCCGAATTCAAGCTGAGAATAAACCTTATTAAAAATATCTGATATCCTAATTTCCATTTCTCGTTTCTTTAAACTCAACATTTAAACCATACGGTTGTCAACTAACAAACAAAATGACTTTCCTGCATGTCAGATAAACAGTAGCTCTGATTAGACTTTTCGTCCACACTACATTCAGTGAATCTGCCTGAAAAATACATGAAAAAAATACAAAACATTTTACAGAAAGGACAAATCTGTTAAAAAGTGATGAGAAAACATAAAAAATATGACATTTGTTGTGTTCTGACAAGAAAAACTAAAGGTTTTCACCAAAGTAAAGCATGAATCTAACATTTAATTGGAAGTTTTTGATTAAATAATCCCACAAGTTCAGTTTCAGGAGTGACAAATTAGAAGGACATTTGTTCTATAAGGAAATAAATAATCCTAAAAAGGCAGGAAAGAATTTTGTTTTCAAAAAATAAAAATAAAAAAAGCCTCGTCCTGTTCAGACTTGTCAGCTTTAAATGTTAACACCAGGAAAAACATTTGCCTTTTTTTAAATTTGATTCATTCCTCTCTGTTTTTAGGCGGAGCGTACCTGCTTCTGAACTTTTGACACGGGTCCTGCTGTCAATCATCCTCGTCCCGTTCCTTGATGGCTGGATGTGCAGCTTGAGGGTCGACACGAAACGCTGTTTGCTGTCATCACCGTTCATGTTGGCTTAAAGTCCCTGAACAGAAAACCCACGAAGACAAAAAAAAATTTACCAAGTCATTCGACAAGCTGATTATAGCGCTTCCTTTCTGACGCTGCGGTCTGAGCTTCTAAAACCAACAAGCTTCTTTTTTTCCTCCCTCTCTGCCTCTGCTGAGCCTCCTGTCCTCACACTTAACTTCACAGGTTCAAACCCTCAGCTCTCTCCCTCCCTTGAACTGCGCAGACTCCACCTACATTACCCAGGCCTTTTCAGACATGACAGGCATCTGCTTATCTTCCCCAATCAGTCTATAATCAGGACCTCCCGAATGCCCCCCTGTCTCTGCTGACAGGGACGGCAGGCATTATGCATGAACACGAAAAGGCAGGAAAGCGAAAGAAGAGAGGGCTTATCKCCCACACCCAGCCAAAGGTTATGTACTGGAGACATGATTGCCCATTGATTTCCTTGTTTGCGTTGCCCTCTATCAGCAATGCCACTGACATAAGCACTTATTACATGAAAGGGTTGTAGCTGTGAACAAAAGGCTTTTGAATGGCCTCATTTGCTACAGTACATCCCAAAACACAAGGCGGCCCTCACTAAGGCAACAGCATCACTACAACAGGCCCATCCACTGCTGTAGAAACCAGATTCTGCAGAGGGGACTGTTGTTGTTGGGAGTGTTTGCTGCTCAGATACTCTGCTTMCATTAGTTAAATTCCAATTAGGGGTGAAAGGAAAAAGGTAACTCAGAYATAACAGGTCTGAAAACCTGGCACAGCAGTGTCAGCGAGGTGAGTTATACGTCTGCAGAGGGCTGCGTGCCAAAGCTGGCCGAGGGGATGAAAACAAAGGTTTCCACTCCCGTCGCAGCCTCCTAAATTCCACATCAGGGATCACACAGAATGGCACAGCGAGGGGCGGGTGGCTTTGGTTCTTGTGAGAACAGAAATCCCAAATCAATCATTTACAAAAGAAAGTGGGGGCCTAGACATGCTGAAACTTTCTTGTTCAAGTTTATTTAAAGCGATTTGAACCTGAAACGTGGCTTCGTTTGGCTAAAGGTGGTGCAGAAACAGGACAAAAAGGAAATGCATTTCGCCCATCTTCCTTGGACACCTTGAGAATCACATGATGTGTATTGTGACATGTTATACTAAGTGTATGTGATGTAAAAGACTCTCAGCTCCCATCATAAAAAAATTTAACTCAGGATCTGCAAAAATGAGTGACTTATAGCCATWTTTGTGTTTGGCCAGTTCTGATTAGCTGTGGCGGCCAAATTGAATCAGTTTGACTCTAAAGGTTAAAAGGATGTAGATGAATACTTTCTGCAAGTTTTGTTATAATCTGACAAAAACAAAAATATCCACCTTCAACTGCAGGAAATAAAAGAAAAAACTATAGATTGGGAAACTTCAATTTCTCTTTATTTGGTAATAAGTTTTGGTGGAAAACCTGAAGGTAAAGTTGATGTTTCTTGTGAAATTCAACGGAACAAAAACAGTTTGATTGGCACCGTTTCCAGTAAGGGATGACATAAAGGTGTTGGTAAGCCATGACAGAATTCTGGGAAGATGATAAAGCATTCATGGAAGCTGTTAAAAGACAGCAGTGTGATGATATCTCATAATTCCCAGAGAGCTGAAGCAACAGCTTGTCGTTTTGTTTTAAAGGCTGCAGTTTAAAGGTTGAGGACTAACTGCTCCTCTATCTGTCTCGGCCTCCATGAACTTGGTGTCTTCAGTTAGTTTGTCTCACTCTCAGCTCTTGTCCCAGAGCTGCCACAGAAKCATGTGCAAATACTGACAGGAGATAGTTACTGCAAGTCACTGCTGGCTAAAACGATACGATCTACACAAGTTAGAATCTTCAGGTCAAAGTGAAAATGCAAAAAAAACTGAACACGTATAAGGCTTTTTTCATTGGATTAAAGAAATAAAGCAGGACAGGATAAAAGAACCTGAATGATGCTGAATGAATATGTAAGGTATAAAGTGAATGACTTTGATGGTTTTGTTGTATACGTAGTTTATCTGTGGTATTTTCCACACAAGCAGTGCAGAGTTTCAGCAGTAGCACGGCATCCCCCCCGACCAACTCGTCCTGCAGGACAGGAAGTGACGACATCGTTCTCAGAGCTACATGAGGAATGCGACACAAACCTTCAGGAGGCCACTTTCTAAACAAACCTGCTTATTTTATCAGAGCAAGTTCTGAAACTGCAACCGAGAAATGCAAATCACAAAACAGCAAACCTGGTTTCGTTTCTCCTTTCTAGGTTTTTACTCATTTTTGTCTTCATCCGAAGTCCTGCATTTAAGTCTTCCGAATACAATCCTTATTTTAGGATTGGTCATTTATCTATGTTTTTATTTTTATACAAGCTCTTTACAATGCATGCTTTCTTTTTCATATGATACAGTGTGTAAAAATGAAACTCTTGAAGATAGATGATATCAGTTAAATTAGATCAATTAAACGGACTATAAAAACTCATTTAAACAGCTAAAATAAAAAGTAATAAATTTAGGGTGTTCTTGAACACAGTCTGATGATACTGCATGATCAGCTTTTCTTCAGCCACTCCATCCAAAAAAAAAGAGGTGGAGAATGGCGCCATCTAGAGGTCACCTGTGCACCTTGGACTTTTTTCCTCCTCCTCTCAACATTTGTTAAAATGAAAAGATTATTTGGACTAAGATGTATGGTTTTTAAGTAACACTAGCTCTAACAACATCTTTGTTTCACAATGTTTTATGGAAAATGGTGAAGGATTCAGTGCAGAATTTRCTCTCTCAACAGAAAATAAAATGGCTGAAAACAATAAATTGATATAAATAATTAATAAAGAGCTGGACCTCCTCATACAGTCAGCATTTATAATAAAGAAATAAAGAATAAAAGCAGATGTTAGGTGCTGGGTGACGTCTTTGTGGGGCTAATTTTTACAGCGCTCACGAGTTTAGTATCCAAGGATCTTCGAAAATCTGAGTTTATACTTTATGTTATTTTTGCAAGCTTTAAAACTGTTCTCTTGCTCAGGGCTGAGGCTGTTGTCGTGGTAATATGTGGTTTGAGCTGTCTTATTTACAAAAAATATTTAGGTGGCAAGTGTCAAAATAAAATCCATGTAAAAGCCAGGTAGGAATTCCTGGCATTGCACTGTTGTGAAAGAGGATGACATCAGTAACAACATAATTAGAGCTTACTGGTGTTCATATTCCTTATATAT